GTTCGCATCCACGTCCCATGCACCCCACAGGATTCGAACCCAGGACCTCCTTCAGTGTGAGCGAACTCCTAACCTCTTGTCCAGTTAGTCGGTATCTAACGGTGTTAATGTCTAACTTCAATCCATGCACGGAGTTACGCAACCTCATACACAGTCTTCGGTAATTACTGTCTGCACCCGAACAGGTTGAACTTCACTGGTCACGACTTCCCACTAAAACTCGTAGAAGATTTCAGGTTTCTAATGGTGGTCTAACATTGATCGATTCATAGTTTCAAAAATGTGTAGCTTAACAATCTTCGAAACCCAGTAATGCAACTATATAAATCATAAGCACGTATATACACACACACAAAACTGTTCAATTTACAATAATTAAATCTACAAACAATTTCTTGGTTCATTGAAATTTAAAATATTTTATCATTGTAAATTACATTTCAATTTTTTAAAACATAAAGGAGAAGGTTGAAGTAAATCTGTTATTAAAACTTCGTTACAATTAATTTGGGTTGTTCTATGGTTGTGGAATTTTTGTGTGTTCCTGTTGGGGAAGTTAGATTCCCAGAACTCGCTTGATAAATGTCTAAAGTTTGGATTTTATTCATAAGCTGATCGGCTGACCTTGAGATCACATTTCCCACCAGGAAAATCTGTGGCTGTGATTGGTTGGTGTGTTATTTTAGTAAGCTATTTTTGTGACTTTCCCAAGGAAGTTTTTATGATGTATAAATAAACGCGATATGTGCGTTTGAATACATTGTGTGCTTGTTGGGTGTTTGTAGAATACACTTCCTACACTATATCAAGACTTCTTCGTTAGTTCCTTTGGGGCAAAGGATCAGAGTAGCCTACCATGTCACTGGTTCATTGTCTCGTTCTCGTTTATCGACTAAGATGAACCGGTAATAGTTTCAAGTATATCAAGTGATGAGCATAACAGTTTCATGAATTGATCAGTGTTAGAACACCTTTGTAAACCTTTAAGTACTGGATAACAGTTTCTTTCCAAGATGGGACTCATTATCAGTATGGACATTTGACCCCCTACAGGTAGTAATCGAACCTAGGACGTTTGACGTGCAGCAGTTTACCTACCTTAGACAATAGATTAGGTGGCAGAACGTGGTAGGTTGCTGCAAGCAAGACATTAACATTGTTGAATATCAGCTTAGTGGCCAAGAAGTTTGGTATTCAGGCGTCAGGTCAAAGATTCTAGGGTCGATTACTGCTTATCAAGTTGTGAAAGCATGTTACTTTCAGTCCAGTTGCAAGACAAAACAACTGTCCAGTGTTTTCAAGTTTCAAAATACTTCGCAAACATTGATCAGTTCGTTATTTTCATAGAACATGAATAAAATCTACTGAAGTTGAAAGAACAGAGGGTATTTCTCTAACACGTTACTGAGAATTTGAAACTGAGAAGTATAGTAACTCTACACAATGCAATAGCTTGGCCTTTCATTGATACCAGACAGATCTGTG